GTACATTACACCCACGTGCAAATAATTTCTTTTGTGCTTTTTTTAAATTAAATCTGAAAGTAGACAAGCGAGACAAGTGCAAGCGCACACACCGTGTGTTTTGCTTTAGTGAGACTTAAGAAAAACGTGATACAACCTTTACTTTGCTATGCTGTTTGTTTTGATTAAAAATTATTGATTTTTTTTTGTTACTGACAAATGACGTGAAGGACCGTCGCACGTTTAAATGCTTTTACTTTCTAATTCCCCATTACTTACCACCTTTCCGGGTACAGGTGAGAAATTTCGTATCCTTTCCTCAGTATCAACTGGGCTGCTATGCTTTGGTTTAATGGAACGATCAAATTGGGGCGGATTCAGTTTAGTAGTAGGTATAGTTAGTTTTAAATTTTCCTTATTTTCTTCCAGATCGTTTTCCTCAAAGTGTGCTTTTGAGTTATTATTACGAGTTAGGCATTTATTTTTATTAGCTATGGCGAATTTCTCGGCCAACTGTTGGCGTTCTTTTTTTCTTTGCTCATCTACTCGTTCTCTTTCTTCAATTTTTGCCTCGATTTGCTCTACATCTTTAACTAGTTGAATTGGTAAATTTGCTTTTTCTTCCTCGTCACGACGCCTATAATGATGGATTTCGGCTTTTAAGCGCTTGATCTCGTTTTTCTACGAAAAAAAAAAGAAAAAATATTATTATTTCAAAAATAATTTCTAAATTAAAATAAATAATCACGTAATCTTCTGCTTCACTTTCCAGTTGCATGAATTGGTACATCATCTCCGTTTCGCCATTTATCAATTGTTTTTTATGATCAACTGAATTAAATTGTTCAGCTATTTGCTCTAATTGCTCGTCATTTTCTTTGGCCTTTTCTAACAGCACTTCTTGTTCTTTAGCTATTTCGTTGATAGTTTTCCGTTTTCCATCATAGAGTTTCATTGCAGCCGATTTACTTGATCTATCCACTGTAGGACGGCCACTGCTAGACGTTTTATGAATGATAAGGCTTGAGTTGGATTGATTCTTAGCTATAATATCATCTTTTAATTGTATATCGTTAACCGATGGATATTCAATATCTTCAATTAGTACGCTAGACTCCATAAAGGTGGAACTTAATTGAGGCTTCACTACCATAGGATTAATACAACGTGTTGGGTAGCCCATAACGAAAAATTCATAACCGCCTTCCAATATGCGTATGGGTGAACGATAGACAACGTCGGGATCCCACTGAAATAATCAATAAGGCATTAAAACAAACATGGTAGATATTTATGTTAATCAATATTTGCTCGATATTTGCCTACGTATTTGGACGTACGTGACATCCGAAAAGACTCTTTTATTACATCAAATCATTTTCTAAATCGATCTAACCTTGTTTGTCCGCGAATTTTTGTTTTCGTTGTACAGGCCGTAATTTTCGATTTATTTTGATAAAAGTTGGCTTTGGCCCAAGGACAAACACTATTGAAAATTGTTCGGATTTGCCCAGTTTTTCGACCGCGCTTTATATGACGTCTTATTTTGAAAAGTCGTTGAGAAAAAATTTAAATTTTCAAAATTTTTCAACAAAAAAATTTTCAATTATTTAAGTTTTTCAATAAAAAAAATTTTCTATTTTCAAAATTTTTCAACAAAAAAACTTTCAATTATTAAAATTTTTCAATAAAAAAAATTTTCAATTTTCAAAATTTTTCAACAAACGTCCCCGAATAGTAAATAGGATTTCGACATTTTAGAATGGTATGAAAAAATTTGGTTCGGATGAAGCAATTCTTTCAACCTCCTCTTCGTCCCTACGAGAACTGAATCTTTATCGAATTTGTACCAACTAGTTCTATTTTTTGATTGCCACCGCTCATAAGGATTCTCATGAATGATAAGCCCTTATATGCCGAAAAAGTCTCATTGTTAACGCTTTACGATGAGAAAGTGTTTGTGATAGTAATTTGCTATAAAAGTTGAGTGAAACCAATTTGGACCACATGCGTCTATTTCTTGGACCCCACCCCATATAGGATGTTACGCCGTTGCCGACTAGACACTCACTATAACTACGAATAAAGCAAACTCCATCGCTTTTAAAATTTGGTGGCTAAATTAATTAAAATTTCTTATCTTTTCACGATAAAATGATATAAAATTGAGATAAAATTGTATGTTCGTCTCGTTTGATGACGTGCATAAGGTAATATCAAAATATTTTCCAGTTCAATTCTTACCCATTGTAGTATGTCCAATAAAATGCGAATAGGTGAGTTCTCTTTGAGTTCCGCGGCGGAACTATTCCAATCCATTAACACTACCTGGTCCTTAATAGCTCGAGCGGACCAAAGTTTTTTCGATTCCTGATCAAGTTTATCTTGTAGTTTCCCAGCAGACATTCTAATGAAATAAATTAGGATTATGATATCAAAATAAAAAAAAAAAAGAGTATTATCAATGCTTTTATATTTTACCCTTCTCGTATTATTTCCGCGGGCACATTAAATGATAATGAATAATTTAATTTTGATTCACCATAATCGCTCGACGGACGACAATCCATAACAAGAACACTTTGCGCTTGCATACTGTCGTACAGTTGCTGGCATGTTATTGCATTCAGTAATGCGTTTCTTTCCACACCATTTTTTAAAGGAGATACTGAACGCGATCGTTGTATTTGATTATTCGAGTGAGAGG